TTGAGTTTAAGCTGCCGGGTCCGGGACTCGAACTGCAGTCAACTACATGGGAGTCCAGTGACATAGCCATTACGCTAACTGCTAGTCCCTGTTGTTAGATTTTACAACGTAATATATGGTGTATGACGATACCACACAATGATAATATTAGTATGGTCTCTCCTCCACCCCCGAGTTTGCTCTGGTTCTGGTGTTTTCCACCCCTACCAACCCACAGCTGTTCATGCCCCAAACTAGCTTTCGTCCTCGGCCCCTCCCTCACGGTGACTTCCTACATATAATCCATCACCCAGACCTGCTAAATCTGTCTCCAAAAATACCTCATCTCTTCCATGTCTCTCCAGCTCCACTGCCACCATGCTGATCCAGACGGCCACTTTCTCTTATCTGGGCAGTGCCAACCACCAGTAACTAACTGGGCTGCTCAGCACCCGCTCTGCTCTTCAAAGAGCATCAAGGAGATCTCTGACAACCACAAGTCTAATCCCATGTCACTCTGCTACTAAAACCTTCTAGTGACTTCCTTGGTTCTCAAGGCCCTGAGTGATCTGGCTCCTGACTATCTTGCTGGCCTCACTTTGCACAACTCTCTCTCCCCCTCCTTGGGTCCAGAACTCTGGCTCCCCTTCAGTTCCTCAACTATGCCCTGCGGGCCTTCTTTCCGAAGTCCTCCCCTTCCTGGAGCCCCAGACCTCGGCGTCCTTAAGATTCCACTTTAAATGCTGCTCAGAGGCTGGATTCCCCAACAGCCCGACCCAAATTAAACGTCAGCATTGCCGGTCTACTTTCCCTTCATGAGGGCTTGCGCTTGGTAGTGCGGCATGATTTACGTGGTGGTACATTTCCTGTCCCCTCCTCATTAGATTACCTGCTGAGTGGCGAGGGGAGGTGTGTGTGCGTTTGGTTCAGTGCTATTTCTCTAGCACAAACCTGGCACACAGCTGGTGTCAGAGAGATGAGGTGTTGGAGAGATAAAACAAACAAGCTAGGAGTCACATACAGGGTCTTTAAAAGCTGATGGAAAATGTTTATTACGAAAAAGCCATGCATGGATTTAACAACTTTTTGTATCAATATAGATTCATATTTTAATTCCATTTCTCCAAGAATTCTGGAGTTCCCTCATACCACTAGAGAGAGGCCAGGCTGGTATTCAAGCCTGGGTCATTGAGACAGCTCATGTGTCCACCCTGTCCTAACTCCTCCTAGGTTCTGCAGCCTCTTCTAGGGTCTAAACGCATTCACCTATCTCTGTGGTTGTTTTTATTTATTTATTTATTTTTTGTGGATTCTTAATGGAAAGAAGAAAGAAAGGAGGGAGAGAGGGAGGAAGGAAGGGAGGGAGGGAGGGAGGAAGGAAGGAAGGAAGGAAGGAAGGAAGGAAGGGAGGAAGGAAGGGAGAAAACTTGTCTGAGTTAATAGTTATTGATCTAGTTATTTTAATTTTAACCAGGCACATATAGTACCCCATTACGTATAAATCATTTCACTTATCCATGTCCCTTCTGATGAATAGTTCTTTAATAATGATCATTTCTGCTGGCTATTTTTCTTTTTCTCTAAGTTTTTTTTTGTTTTTGTTTTGATTTTGTTTTTTAAGTTTATTCATTTCTTCCATGAGAGAGATAACAGGAAAGAGAGATACAGAGAATCAGATATTCCCAAGGTCTTCACGCCTCAATCCTCCCCCAGTCTCGCTCCACTGACCTAGGTCACGGCCATGTAAGTGTGTTTACTTGCCATGCTTACAGAGGTCCTGGGAAGTGAACCCAGGACCTTTCCTATGTGGGTCCAGCTGCATTATTACTATGCCCTGCGGGCCTTCTTTCCGAAGTCCTCCCCTTCCTGGAGCCCCAGACCTCGGCGTCCTTAAGATTCCACTTTAAATGCTGCTCAGAGGCTGGATTCCCCAACAGCCCGACCCAAATTAAACGTCAGCATTGCCGGTCTACTTTCCCTTCATGAGGGCTTGCGCTTGGTAGTGCGGCATGATTTACGTGGTGGTACATTTCCTGTCCCCTCCTCATTAGATTACCTGCTGAGTGGCGAGGGGAGGTGTGTGTGCGTTTGGTTCAGTGCTATTTCTCTAGCACAAACCTGGCACACAGCTGGTGTCAGAGAGATGAGGTGTTGGAGAGATAAAACAAACAAGCTAGGAGTCACATACAGGGTCTTTAAAAGCTGATGGAAAATGTTTATTACGAAAAAGCCATGCATGGATTTAACAACTTTTTGTATCAATATAGATTCATATTTTAATTCCATTTCTCCAAGAATTCTGGAGTTCCCTCATACCACTAGAGAGAGGCCAGGCTGGTATTCAAGCCTGGGTCATTGAGACAGCTCATGTGTCCACCCTGTCCTAACTCCTCCTAGGTTCTGCAGCCTCTTCTAGGGTCTAAACGCATTCACCTATCTCTGTGGTTGTTTTTATTTATTTATTTATTTTTTGTGGATTCTTAATGGAAAGAAGAAAGAAAGGAGGGAGAGAGGGAGGAAGGAAGGGAGGGAGGGAGGGAGGAAGGAAGGAAGGAAGGAAGGAAGGAAGGAAGGGAGGAAGGAAGGGAGAAAACTTGTCTGAGTTAATAGTTATTGATCTAGTTATTTTAATTTTAACCAGGCACATATAGTACCCCATTACGTATAAATCATTTCACTTATCCATGTCCCTTCTGATGAATAGTTCTTTAATAATGATCATTTCTGCTGGCTATTTTTCTTTTTCTCTAAGTTTTTTTTTGTTTTTGTTTTGATTTTGTTTTTTAAGTTTATTCATTTCTTCCATGAGAGAGATAACAGGAAAGAGAGATACAGAGAATCAGATATTCCCAAGGTCTTCACGCCTCAATCCTCCCCCAGTCTCGCTCCACTGACCTAGGTCACGGCCATGTAAGTGTGTTTACTTGCCATGCTTACA